ATAAGGTAGCTAATAATATTGGGAATCAAATTTGATTTTCCCAATATAATAGTTATTCGGCACGAAGTGCCGAATAATTATCAATTACTTCCAAAAAATCGGATTTAATCTTATCATTTTATAACAAAGTTTGCGGGAGAATTATTCCACATGTAATACTGAAAAAGGAAAAAAAAAATAAAAATATATCAAATTTCTAAATAATTAATAATACCTCAATGGTTGAATATAAACTATCTTTTTGATCCGAATTGATTATTTATTGAGATATTATCCTTGATAACAACGTGACACTGCACATGAAAAAAAAAGAAGACCATACAAGATTAACAGAAGTTACACTAATAGAATTTTCTTTTTTATCTTAATGTCGTCCATAGATTTTTTTTTGCCAGTGATGCAGCCAATGTCTCCAAACAAATCTTTCATCAGCGAAGGTTTTTATCACTAAAGAATATAACAAAAGGACCGATATGCTATGATTACATCAATATTTTTTAATTAAAAAATAATTGGTGACTTTCAGTAATTGGGGATTTATTAAGTTTAGAGTTAATCAAATCAGTTTACTTTAGAAGTTTAATTAAATGTATAATACACACATGAACATAAGAAATTTAGAATGTATTTGGGCTTGCGTCAGTTAAAAAGGGGGAAATCGCCCTCCCAATCAATTTTGAGATTTGTGGTTCATATGATGTAAATTTACAATGTGCCTTATTTTCACTTAATTTGGTAGACCGGAAAGCATAATAAATTTTCGAGATAATAAGTTTCGCATGTTTTTTAAAAAATAATTAAATTTATTATTACTACTTACCGTATCTCAGTTTGTCACCCTTTTTTATTCTTCTCTAGGTCCAGAAGCTACAAATCGGATATAAAGGTTAGTTTACAATACTTTATTTTTTTTTTTATTTTTTTTTATCTTTTTTATTTTTTTTTTATTATTATTTTTTTTTTTTTTATTTTTATTATTTTTCTTTTTTTATTTTATTATTATTTTTTTTTTTTTATTTTTTATTAGATCGTCTAACTTTCGTAACTGAGATTCCACGCCCTCAATTTCCGATTTCTTTTCTAAATAAGAATCTGAAGTCCGGAATTCCTTAATTTGTCTGATAATAATTGTCCGATAAGGGATAGAAAAAATTCTATCAAAAACTAAAGATTACCAAACAAAATATTAAATAGTACAATATTTTTTTCAACTGACCAAATACTTTCCGTGGATAGTGTTACATTTCGTCAAAATTTGACTTGAATTTATTTTAATAACTTTAAAATCATATTTTCCAAGGGTACTGTTTCATATCACAATTTGTACCAATCGAATAGCATACGTAACGTAATAAAATTCTGAATTTATTTTTATAACTTGAAAAATCAAAATTTTCCGAGGCAGTGTTATATTTCATGTAACAATTGCGTACGTAATTTAATGTATTTTGTTATAACTTTAAAATCTAATAGAAAACTTTGATTCTCAATAATCAAACAATTTTGATAGTATTCCTTTTTTTTTTTTTTTTTTTATTGTAAAATGATTACATAATCATTGATAACGCACAAAAAAAAAAAATAGTCTTCATTTGGCTCAATCAATCGTATTTTTTATTCAAAAATCAAATCTAATTGAAGACACGAGGAAGGTAATAGATTTCTTTATTAAATAATGACCTCTTGGTTATATTTATCAAAATGAAATTACTAGATAAATGATAAAATCTATTAAGCAACTTTAACTAATAAATATGTATATTATACTTCACGTGACATATAATACTCCTCACCGAGTTTTTTCTTCAGCGCATTCTAATTAATTATCCTAAATCAGGACAGATGTTTTTACATCATATGACGGCGGAAAAGCCAAATAATAAATAAATTAATTTTCTTTTTTTTAAAAAAAAAAACAAACAAAAAAGGTTCCGTGTATGCAGTAAATTTGATCGTTGTCGCACATACTATTCGAATTGACCGAATGCAAATTTTACACATCCATAATTTTTTATGCAACCATACAAATAATTATCGAAGTTTTGCTTCGATTTCAATTAACATTTTTTCCATGTAAATGTCTATGACCGCATAGATAAAGTGATAAAGATTCCCGATAGATTTCCATCGGCAACATGGTGGTGAAGTCTTTAACTTTCACTAGAAGATTTATCTTACTGAAGATTAAGATAAATAATAAAGCAAATTTTATGAACACGAAAATTCTGCACAAAATATTATTGTATGACCTCTATTTTAAAGTAAATATATAGAAAATAAAACGCGTAAATTGCAAAAAAAAATAAAATGAATATGCAAAATAAAAAATGAATGAGTTGCAAACATTGATTAATAATTCGATTGTTTCATTAACACATGCATAATCTAAATTTAAATAAATATATATATAATTTTGGATATTAACGCGGAAAAAATATAAAAGTTTTATATGAAATCGTAAAAAAATTAGCAAATCACAATAAACAAAGATTAATAAACACGTACACTACATCTATAAAATTAATATATTATGATTATTTCACAAGTTAATGATTGCATGTATTTGGCTTGACTAAAAAATATATAAATATCTTAATATTTCCCTCTACCAAAAAAATAACTTTATAGGTTTATATATCAGACAATCACTCAAAATACTTGAAGATTTACTTTTTGATTATAACATGCAAACTAAGTTAAATTACGAGGATGCATCTAACATGGCAGCTGCGCAATCTAATAAAAGTTTTTCCAATGAACCTCTGTTTTTATATCAACGGGGTAGCGCTCAAAATATGGAAATGATAATTCAAAATTACTCTTTACAATTTATTTCAAATGATCAGTCACCTCTTATTTATTGGCCTTACTATTTAATTAATTCGCAGGAAGGTATTTATCAAGATCATTGTACTTACCAAAATGTGATATGCTCTTATGCAAATACGTCATCCTTTAAGTCATTAAGTGACTTTCCTAGTGGCCAACATCAAATTGGCCGAAAGTCAAAAAAACGACCTGCAAAAAAACTAAAAATAAAATAATTATTCAACCCCATCGATATATTTTAGTCATGTTTTCGTAATTTCGTTGATTTTTTGGGGTAACTAAAAATTTTTATTTATTCCGCTTCTTTATTATATATTTTATTTAAAAAAAAAAAATAAAAAAATCTAATATTTTGTTGCTCACGCTCGGCTGCTATACAAGCTTGACATACTTTTCAACTAATACTATAGTTTTATGCTCATCTAGATTTAATAATTACATAGAGAATTATTTCGAATGATTTAAAATTTTAATCAAATGGTTGTAGAAGAATTAGAATCTATTATAATTTTACGTATAAATAAAGGTAAAATTAAACCGGAATATAAAAACTTAATTAATGATGTCTTTGAATTCAATCAAATTTTCCATTTGCTGCTTTGAAAAATATTTGTCGTTTTAACACAACTTTTTGAAACCATTGTGACTACTTAAAATAAATTCATAACTTATTTTTTCTAAAAAGAAAATAAATTCTTCTCGTTTAAAATGACTTATGTAAATGACCTTAAATGACATAAATGACATAAATGACCTTTAAATGACAATATCATTTAAGGTCATTTGTAATTTGCGAAATGACTCATTTTAAATGACTAAAATGACATAGTCATTTGTAAGTAATTTGAAGGTCATTTCAAAATGGTCAAATGTCCTGGTCATTTGCATCACTGCTTTAAACAACCTTGTACACTGCTGAAATTTATTTCTAAATCTCTTAACACTCACTTCGCGAGTACAGAATATCAAGTTATCATTACATCAGTTATTGTTTTTATGGTTGCCGCTTCGATCGAATCAGCATGATTAAGTCTTGCAATAAGGTTCGACAACTCCGTATATAGCTGTCCAATGCCAATTCTTTCTTCAGAATCAAATCAACTGTTGCAATTTTTTCTTCATATGAATTCTGTTCTCTGCTATAGCCAAAAAAAAAAAAATAAAAAAATAAAAAAAATGAAAAGGTTTGCAAAATATTTATTTTTTTTGCATGAATTTAAATTTAAATGTAGACTACCTCTTTGCAAGGTGTCCTGCAGAGTTATCCTTCTAAGTCTCATATAATAACAAGATATTTATCGAATGTTATTGCCTTACAAATTATACAAACTATTTTTAAATTTTATTAAGGTATTAATTAAATGTTGTTTCAAAAGTTATTACAATATCCTGAAAGAAAAAGAAAGGGTGCAGAATTCCAATAAAAATGAA